ACAATATACATAAGAATCGAAATGGTAATCATAGTAATTAATTGTACTACTACTACTACTACTACTACTACTAGTAATGATAATAGACTCAGTTGAAATGTCTTGTATCTGTTCAATGATGGCTAGCCCAGTTCTGATTGTACTTGTGGGGTCGGGGGGACTTAGCAAGTAGATTAATAACCCCTGTAACCCATACAGTAACCCCAGCTATTCCTACTATTGGCCTACTTACTAAGTCCCCCGGACGCTCCCAGTAAGATCCTCAGTGTTAGGTATGCAACTTGCAATATTTTCGCACATGGTAGCCAAGCAAAAATACCGCCGAAAACAACTCCACTTTATGGAGGCAACTCCGATTTCAATAGTCGGCTCACAAAACTTCAAGGCCTACAACCTCAACGTTAAATTGCAAACTGCTATAATGTCTCTATATAACCCCTGTATTATACCCTTATATAGTAGTTTCTAATTTATTTTCCATTATCCTAATATCACAACAAACCCTAAACCCTGAACCAATCCATGGCCGGCCTGTATGTGTGATCGAATCGTATTTGAGGCCCAAGGCAATGCTTTTTTGAGCCAAGCGCTTCACAGGTCCTCCCTTCCAGCGTAACAATTGCATGAAAGGCTGGGCATCACTGTCATAGAGATTGTTGCGTTTCATGCTGGTGAGGGCTCGTTCAACAATGACCCTGTATGGCTGCTGTATCCAAGTTGAAACACAGATTCGACCGGTGCATGAACAGGAGCTGAACAGCTACAGTACCAACCCCCAGAGAACTCGCTGCCACCAGACTTGTTTTCGCAACCCCAAGAGCGGAAAGCACACGTGAGGGCAACAATACGTGCATGAGTTTCCGAATTATTCAAGCTTCTATGTTTCGCCTTCGATGCACAGCAAATCTCAGAAGCTGGGCTGTTGGCTGGTCCTGGTCGTCATTCCCATTGCATTCTGCAGGAAGTCTCAAATTAAGAACTTCAGTAGAGGCTCCTTAAAAGTTAGGACGTCTAGGCCAAAAGTTGAAATGGGATCTTCAGGGTCTGCACAACGTTCAGCCGCAGGTCTTCCAGCTACAGAGCCAAAGAACAGCAGGGAACAGCAGCAAAGTACATAGGGGCCTTATAGGGATAATGGAGAAGAAAATGGACAATACTATATTATTCAAGGGGTCACATAGGGGATATATGGGGTCTTGGGGTTATATAGGGGTCCTGGAAAAGAAAATGGAAACCACTATACTCGTTAGGGTTATATAGGGGCTATAGGGTATGTATGTATGTATGTATGTATGTATGTATGTATGACATATATATATATACACATATACCCTATAACCCTACATATATTTATACATATACATATATGGGATATTGGGGTTACTGAGTGCAAGATGTCGGGCTGCAAGGCTCCACGCAATGCTCCCCCAAAGTAACATGGAGTCCTCAAAAAACCTCTTCCAAGAGGCTCCTGTCGTTTTGAAAGAGGCACATGGGGGTTTCCCAAAAATTAGTGTAGTTTTTTGGGAGTCCCTAGAATACGGACTATAATATCTTGGTGGCTTTTTTGTTGGGGTACACTAATTCTGGGAAACTACCATATAGTGTGGGTGCCATGTAGGTTTGGGTAAAGGTACCGGTGCTTGAGCGACGATGCAGTGCCAGCTCCTGGAGCACGCTGAGCAGAGTACATGCAGCAATATGAGCCGCATTGGGAGTCTCCAAAATTGAGGTCTGACTGTGTTGTGTCGGGACCATCAAGAAGGAAGAATGCTTTTGAGGGAGTCGTTTGGAGCAACAGCTGCAAGAACACTCAGCACTTGCTGCTGCACCGCTCGCGCATCTTTCTTGCCTCTGCCAAGTGGTGCGTCGCATCACCCCTCCCACGCGCAATAATCCAGATGCAGAGTGCAAGCTAAACCCCTTCAACAAGGCTAGCACTGCATTCAGCGGTAGCAGCAGTTGTTGTTGATGTTGGAGATGCTGAAAAAAATCGCCGCCGTGATGTATACAAAGGTGTGTCGAACCCTGAATGCAAAGGGCAAGCGTGACCTATCCTATCAGCCCAAACACCGCAAAAACCTTGAAAACCCCAATACTAGCCATATGTGTACTGCAAGATACTTCAAATGCAGAACGTGCCATTGTAATCGCACTTGATTCACAGAGCTTCTCAGCAATTCCGCAGCCAGAAATTATAAAGACCATCTTGCCAAGGATAACAGCACCTGCAAATGTCGCCATACACGACTTAAGTCACCAGCCACTCTCCCTACCGACCCCGGCTGCTCACTCGCTGAGCTCCTCAGGCTTTCCGGTTGTCTCTCTGCCCATATGACAACAGCACTTTGTAAGGAGGTCTTTCATACTGCTTCGTCTTCATGAAACGCACGCATAATACGTCTGCATTCGTTTAACACACACACACAAAGTGCACAGCCCATTAGGCTTCTGCAGGTCATTGCCTACCTTGTGCTTCTTTCTGGTCAGACAGCGCCTGAGCAAGAAAACCGGCTCCTGATGAACTTGCTGACGTTGCGGAAGCCATGTTGCCCAAAAGCATGTCCACCTTCCTCAGCTTCATGAGTGGCTGTGCTGCTGCAATGCTGCTTCCGATTCCACACTTATGACCGTACATAATGCCTACAAATTGAACAAGTCTTAAGTTTGTCGACAGGTTCTGCAATCAACTCACGCATTTTCGTACGAACTTCTTTTGCACATATAGGTGCAATTCCCCCCCGGCGTGTGACCAGTACTGCCCGACAATTGGCGGCCCTGGAAAGCATCCTGCAATGCGTATTTGCCTTTGGCAGCCCACCAACATGACGGAATCTAGTACCAAAACCCCATTCCTCCGCGTCCCCCAAAACAGTCCCTAAATGGGGTTATATAGGGATAATGGAAAGAAAATGGAAGCTACCATAGTATATTGGAGTTATGTTGGGATAATGGAAAACAAAATTGACACGAGCCTGTCTGTTATTGTTGCCCAAAGGCTGTCATGTTGGGGAGGGTAGAATGGGTGGGTGCATGTAGGGCTTCATAACATCAAGAATCAAGAGGCACCCTTACACTTGGGTCATGCCCCCACCCTTTCAAAGTCTGTAATAGGGGTCATATAAAAGGATATAATTAATACAGCTATAATATAGTATCCAACTGTTACTGAGTGCTGGCAGTAACCAACCCCAAACCCTTACACGAAGAAACTCCTGCTTGCACTCCGGGCAGCTTCCTGCCCTCATCCAGCCTTCAGTACAGACCAGAATAACGAGGGGAGTTTTATTTAGCCAATTTAATAAGGACCCTACACCTGTCGTATGACTATGATAGGGTCCTAATTTTAGTGGGGTTGGGGTAACTTAGAAAACCTACATAATCACATCATGCTAAGACTCTGACTTCCTAAGTAACATTTGTTTGGCAGCATCTGCATCCAGGATGACACATTTGCATAGGCACGCTTTGGAAGAAACGGAACCTTGCATTAGGACAACATAGCACTCTCCAAGCGATTGTGTCTTGACCCTTGCTGCAGTGGGTCTTGAGTACCAGCCCACCTTGCCCGCCTGGGCGCTACGCAAGCACTCGTGGCCCACTAAAGATACAAATGCCAGTCTTGTGGCATGCCTGAGAGTGACCCATATACTCCCTTGACTACCCTGTATTTCCATAGGATTCCAAGACCCATCTCCGTTCTGTGAGGCTTCTCAGGCAAGTCAGGCAGGCAGCTCCGAAAAGCTGCCAGCATTCTCTCAAGACATGGTAACTTCTCAAAATACGGGAATCCAATATTGACCCCAACATACTATAGTCCTTGCTATGGGGACCCCCCTCCCCCAATTTTTGGGAACCCCTCTCATGGTCGCTTGCAATAAGGGCACCTTGTCACGGCCGCATTGGTATCTGAATTCAAGTTATGAAGGCTATGTGGGCACTACTGGAGGAAAAGAATGTAAGGCAATACTGTAGCTAGGCATGTGGTCCTTCTGAAGCATAGTGCTCCCAATGTCCTTCAAACAACTAGTGATCTGACGTGTAGCGCCCGACAGTTAACTAATCTGGAGCTTAAGTGGGATGATGCAGGAAGCATCGCCCCAAATGAGGTGGTCTGCAGTAGGCAGCCTCCACTTACCTTCACGGCTGAGGCGCCGACTTTTTCTTGAGGTCCTGGTGATTGCTGGTCGCCTATGAGTGTACGAGCGGGTTGCGTTCCCTAGCGGAATGGTAGCAGCACTTGTAGCTTTAGGAAAAAGAATGATGCTTCGAACATCAACTTCCAACAGCACTGTGGCCGCGCCTGCTTGTAGCGGGCCTGGGCTTCTTCCTGCGCTGCTGTTATCACAGCCTCCCGGTGCTGCAAAGCCTGACATTCAGCATGGTTGTCAAAAGAGCGGTTTAGGGTTTAGGGTGGGATCCTCAGCTTTCGATAGAGACCCAGGCCATGGATGCCATAGTAAACAGACGGGCAAGCTTCCTGGCGGAACATGATCAAATGTGGTGGCCGACAACTCAAATCACATGACTTAATCCTACTGTACATCGTCCTATATAATGAACTTTCTATGATCCTGTGATAACTCACATTTTCATCCTTGTTGTCTTCGTGACACTGGGCTTCATCCCGCGCGCGCCTGCAAACGCTCCGCATCTAGCCGCGACTGGGCCTCCAATGCTGCTTCCGATCTTTGCACTAGAAGAAACGGAAAAGGTCAACGGCTCTCAAACGTTTTGACGGCTGCACAGCTCCAGGATAGATTGCTTCGCAAAGGCAGGTTGACCTGCTATCCAAGCGAGTAAGGGATGGAACATGTGGGCACGCTATCTCGACAGGCTCAAGTACGCGGCCACAAATTTAAAGTCTTAAGCAGCTCGACCACGGCTGCGGCACCAGCTGTACAGGAGCCAGTTAGCCATGGGACTCCCCTAGTCCTATACCAGCAGCTGAAGGGACACCTGTTGTCAACCTTCCAGAATTCCACACGCATCCAGCTCCATCAGCTGACGGGCAGGATGTCCTCCTCGCGAAGCGCAGCTCGAGTGCACGGATCGCAGAGACACCTGGCCTGCCACTGACGAATTGAATCAGTTTCGTAGATGAAAACATTAAAGCCTGAGTCGGATCCTGGACTTCTGCGCAGGACGACAGACAATCCAGGCATTGCACGACCGTTTTGGACGATCCGCTCACAGGTGAAGACTTCCTCCTCCGAACCTTGCTGCGCCTCCTTGAAGCGCGCGAGCACTGCGTGCAGCACGTCGTTCTGGAGCTTGTCGACTTTGACACCCATTCTGAGCAATTCTTGTCTTGGATTGGAATCTCCAGCACCTGTCTGGTCCTGTCGCATGTTCAGAAGGCTTCGCAGGCGAGACTCGTTCAGCTGTGCCTCTGTCTTGGCACAGCCGGTGAAGAAGTTCTTTAGCCAGGCCACCACAATGTCCTGCACGTCATCAGTGCTGCGGTGGACACTGCAGGCAACGATTTCCTGTGCCGACCTTGCGAGCTTCCACAAGGCACTGATGGTCTGCTCATCTGTCTCTTCGCCGTTTAGCTGAAGCGTGCGCTGGCAAAAGCGTAGCACCCAGGCTTGAAACAAGCGGCGGACCTTTCACATCTGCGTGCGTATGACTACCTCTTAACTGCTGCAAGCCAAGTCCCGCCCACCTCATCTTCCATGTCCTGCGAAAGTTGCAAAGTGACCGGGCGAGCTGCCATCAGCAGATCTGTGGCATTTGGAGCTCGCAGCACTTGCGCCAGCGCGCGGACTACGGACGTCCTGAACTGAAGGCTCAGCGTTCTGCCGCACCGTCTGGAAGTCAACACGTGAAATACCGTAGCAAGACAAGGACAACAGAATGACACTGATGGACGGTATGCGGTCTTCAGGCATTCAAGCACAACAAGTTGCCATTGAAATGGTTTTGGGATGCTGCTGTTTCCACGACTAACTGCTGAGGCTGCTATTACATATCAGCCTTAAGCCTTTCCCTTTTTTTGCATCTGGAACTCCCTCAGGCTTTGCCAGACTGAAAGGCACTCCACCATACAGCGCTGCTGGCTGCAAGTGACCAAGCTCCCTCCAGAAAATTGACAGGCACAACCTCATACAACAACACCACATGCCTTTCCCTAAACCCTAAACCATAAGCTGCAATACTGGCTTCAAAGGGCAGCAGGTGCTGATGGCCATGATGGCCCGCGCCATGTCCGACGCCTCCATGTTGATGGCCAGGATTAGCTCACCGGCACTCTGGCCATTGCCTCCAGATGAGCTGCTGTTGCTCTGGTTACTGATTACTGTTAGTATTATCCGTACTTATTGTTATTCCTTTCGGAGATGGCGCCATTTAAGCACCAACATCTTCTATTTGGGACACTCAAACCTTGACTGCACATGCCAAACCTAACCAAAAATTTTAACAGGATCGCTTAAGCTGTTCCCATTCAAATAATAGCTACGTTGGGCCCTAAAGCCTGTAAATATTGCCTACATTGGGCTATTTGGATCCCTAAGCCATCTTGGTAAAGAAGGCGAGGTACGAAAGAGCTCGACGCCCTGCTGTGGCGAGGCAGCGACTGTGTTGGGGTCCAGAAAGATTTCCTGACTGTCAGCAAATGATGTGGGCAGACTTCTGACCACATTGTGTTCATGTTATGTTCACAGACATTGTTGGGAAGTTAAGTGAGGACATCAGGCTTGGCACATAAGTAGCCCTATGTCAGGGCATTGAAAGCATTAGGTTCATTAGATAGGTCTCTCTGGAGCTCATGGATAGGCTTTGCAGACATGGAAACCAACCTCGCCCAACAATCGACAATACCATTTATTTGAACAACGTACCTGAGTACGCTCTGCTGGCTAAGTTTCTGGCGGGCCGGAACCATCCTGGCCCCTGTTCTCGACTGCTTAACATCTATCGCAAATCTATGGGATACCAGGCTAGGAATGACTGGGACACACGACGTAATTGGCCGGGCAAGGAGAAGGACGTATACAGTAGTTTCCATTTTCTTCTCCATTACCCTTATATAACCCCATTATACTATAGTAGTTTCCATTTTCTTTTCCATTATCCTATATAACCCCAATATGTACCCTATAACCTTTGTATAGTCCCTATATAACCCCTTATCATCCCCTGTAGTTTCCATTTTCTTTTCCATTATCCCTATATCACTTCCCACCATGTACAATTGCAGAGGCCGTGGGCCTGAGGGTGGCCATCTCGCCAGACAGCCTGCTAAACCCAGACCCCTGGGAGGATCTAGAAAGTAGAACCCCCAATTTGGTACCCTATACTACTATTGGGTAATTCCTAGGAACCCTTAAGGGGGCTCTACTTTCTAGATCCGCCCAGGGATCTGGGAATGAGGCAGCAACACAGGCAGCAGCGTAGAAATGACATCTGCGCCATAGTCTAAACTCCTAGTAACCCCTTAAGAACAGTAGTCCCCTGTATAATCCCCTACATAACCTCCAAAAAAGGGGCGGTATAGTCCCCTATATAACCCTTTAAGGAGTTTAGACTTTAGCCCATCTTCGCCAAGGTTCCCCGCTGCCAATAAAGGAATCCCCTCGTAAAGCGCCCTGCAGCTCCCTCTTGTCGAAAACCTCCATAGTCAAATAGTAATATAGTACCATAGTGCTATAGTCATATAGAAATACACGTATAAGATAGTGATATATTAATATTCCAGAAGCAGGGCTACGATTTGAGGTTGCAGGCGGCACCGGCGAAGGGGTTCAACATCATTGCTGGGAATATGGGCTGTTTTGTGCACAGACCTCCAGGAGGATCTTAAAGCGCGACGCTTTCCAAAAGTCGGCCCTCACTGCAAAAGCCAGGTTAGCACCCCAATCGAACCATTCTCCGTTTCCCGGAGCTTCGATGCAGGAAGTGCTTTGCATCTTGGTCACAGTGTTCTCCCACTGAATTCCTGACATTTGCAATATGTTCTCAAACGCAACTCTACCTTTGGGGAGATGGCTCTATGAAATTCAAGGATCCAAGGAAAGGAACACAGACTCCTCAAAGAACAAGATTCTGCAATTCACATATGGCCTCACGCGCCGACAGCCTAGAACTTTGCTGGTGATGTCACCAAACCGGTACTCGGAGTTGGAGAGGCCATTGGCCCTCTGCACTTCGACATACACAGTCCCATCCATGGCAGATGCTCTGGAATCTCTCTTATGATGTTGATTTAGGAAATGTGAAGTGCTTGCAGTTGAACGGTTTGTGCATCTTGCTGTGCTAGGCCAGGATCCTGACGGAACTCCCTGGACCAACCGCCAAAATGTTGTTCTGCATGCTGCATGCGCACTCACGCAAAATATGAATAAGCAAGCTCGCTCATGATCTTGAGCCTGCACAGCTGCGGAACAAGCTTCCTGGGCGAAGTGCATGGTGTCAGCCACACAATTGCGCCCAAATATGGACCCCAAATACCATCTTTCAGAATAACTATAGGGACCCCGCAGAAGAGTACCCCTAATTTTGAAACCCTCTAGTTACAAGCAACGGCTCTTGGCTCTTTCACGGCGAGCTGGCTCAACTACAAAGCTATCTCAGTGCTAATGTACAAAACTCCTGCCTCACCCGGGGTATGAAAACCATTATTCTCCTCAGGTAAAAGGTATATTCCGCCGATCGTATCATCCTGGGCATTCAAAGCTGGCAAAACTTGGCTGGCTACTTGTCTCGACAGGAACCACGCATGCTACTGTATTGCGGGCCCATAGGACCTATAGCTTAAACTCCTAATATCCCCCTTAATAACCCCTATTGTGACCCATAGCTTAAACTCCTAATATCCCCCTTAATTATTACTCCTACTGTAGTCCCCTATACAATCACCTATACAATCCCTTCAAGAAGTTTAGATCATGACTCACATGAAAGCCTCCCAGTGAAGACCCGGGAAGATACTTAACAACTTACTAGTAACACTAATAATAACAATCATGTAAAATCACATGGTTGTTGTTGTTTATTCTACGTTGTCATTATGTTACCCCACCCTGCAAGCACTCCAGGCAGAAGAAGATATCCATAACAGGCAACAATAATACGAGTCACACTAAGAACAACACACACATTGTTATACATTGTTGACTTGTCCATTTTTCTTAGCATGGCTTTGATGTAAGCTACAGTCTAAACTCCTAGGATCCCCCTTAATAAGCCCTATAGTAGTCCCCTATATAATCCCCTATATAACCCCCCTTTAAGGAGTTTAGACTATGGCTCATGTAAAAGCCACACCTCGCTATCCAGCTGCAGCGTCTTGAGCTGGGCCAGAATTGCCAGCAGTTGCTGCGCGGCCCTGCTGGAGCAGCAGTTGAAAAATTACAGTCCCATGCCCATTGGGCTGGCTAGGGATTATGTTTAGGGTTACAGGGTTATAGGGTTTAGGGTTATAAGATTTGGGGTTAGGGATACTGATAACTTCGGGTACCCTAGGAACACCCAAAGTCGTGTAAGGATTTATGGGTAAGGGCTCAACTTCAGCTACTGTACCCTATCTATGGCTAAAGGGTCTGAAAGCTGCCTTTGAGAAAGGCTTGTAGACCCTGCTACCCAACACAACACCTTGAGGGATTCCAACTCACTGGAGCCCCCAAAGTGTAACCCATCCCGCACCGTTGAATGCCGACACAAGCCTGGCCTTAGAGATGCACAGACGGTTGATGGTCCAAAGCACGCAGCTCGAGGCAGGTCGACAAATTCAAGGCTTGCGAACTGAAGTTCAGCCCCTGACATATGATGCCAGGGGCTCCAAGTGATGGTTGCCTTTTTTCACGTCCTTTCTATCACCTCTCCGAATATGAACCACGTAGCACACCCTAGAACTTCATTCTCTCCGTCAAGAGTTTGAGCTTTTCCAGGGGAAGGGACCAGACCCTACTTTTGAGACATGTCCACTTAGCAGCTCCTCCACTTAGTAGCTCCTCGAAGCCGTAGAAGCCAACCATGCCAATGCTGGGCTCCCAGCTCTGACTCGCTGTCCTGACTCAGTCCGCGAAGTGACATGAAGAGGGCTCTATACAGACTAGTGCGGTCTTGAGAAGGGCTAGATGGGTTCCATGGCATTTGCCTTAGGCTAAATGAAACATGGAAAGCGCCGTAGTCCCCGCAAAGGCTTTCACCCAAATTCATCCCCAATCCAGCCCTTTGTAAAAAGCAAAACAAGGCCCAGAATTGGTACTTGACAACACATTCTGTTCCCAAAGTGGCCACTATGGAAGTTGATGTCCACGCATTTTTCCTTGTGGATCTTGTAGACCTACAGTATATATAGCCCTATATGATCCGCCTATATATTGCAGTTCCCCTAAGAAGTACTTTCCATTTTCTTTTTCCATTATCCCTATATAATCCCTAAATCCTAAACTCTAAATAATAGCTTCCATGTTCTTTTCCATTATACCTATAAAGCCTCTAAACCCCAAAATTAGTAGCTTGCATTTTCTTTTCCATTATCCCTATATAATCCCTATATAACCCCATTAAAGGGGTAGCAACTTGGACTATGGGGCCAGGATCCCTGAATAATTTCCCCAAAAGACGTTTCGATCAATCCCTGGTTGCTCCAGAGGGTATAGGGACAATGGAAAATAGCATGGAAACTACTATTTAGGGTCTGGGGTTCAGGGTGTAGGGTTGAGGCTTTAGGGTGTGGTGCGGGTGGCAGTCCGGCCGGCCGGTCTCCGCAGCGTAGAGCTTGGCTTCCAAATCCGCGTGCTTGGCCTGAACATGACAACTTACTGGGGCTTGATTACAGGGGTGTAATATGAGGTTATATAGGGACTTACGGGTTCTTTGTAGGGAATAAGGGAATGTTCAGGGTTTAGGGTTTAAGGTCAAGGGAACATAGGGGTATACGGTATAATATAGGGTTGTATTATGGGCATAATGGAGAAAAATAAAATGGAAACTACTCTTTCGATTTGAGGGCCTAGGGTTAGTAGGGAATAAGGGACTATATCTTGACGAATTATATACAGAGTATATTCCCTCGTTCCCCACCAAGCACCAGTAAGAGAAGTCTCCAGAAGGATTGCAAAATGGAGGATCTTGAATTTAGAGCTTGCGGGGTTTGGATTGACTCAACAAGTAGGATGTACTCAACCATGAGTCAAGGCCCCCAGGAATATGTAGTGATGATCAGAGATTGTGGAGTCAATGTCAATGGTTCTCGTGCGATCACTTGAGAAACTCCAACATGGGAGCCTGCGGGGCTTGGGGGATGACCTAATCAAAACACTAAGTTAGACTAAGACCATAATCTTTCTACACACTACATTACAAGGCTCTGCAGGACTGACATATACATGACCCCAGGGCTATCTAAGTGATTTGGAGTTACCTTGCAACGGTTGGTCAGCAGGTTGAAGCCCGATGCCGTTGTGAGAGCAAGGCTACTGGCAAGTGGCAGTGGTCATACTTGCCGAGCGTCGACCTTGTTGGCCAGCCCATGCTTTCAGGTCTTGGCTGCGAGCGACGACCCTCATCAAATTATGTCATAATTCGTCCTACTCTCACCTTGCAGCCCTCCCCATGCAGAAGCAGTGCCACAGGGTAGCTACTACCCCTGCAATGCAGGACCATGATACAAAAACGGCTGCGTGCTCTTCCCATCTAGCTCTGCAATCACCCAACGCCTTTTGGCCAGAGCCTCTCCCTTATTTCTACGTAGTCAGCCAAGAGCCATGCCTCACGGCTGTTCAAGAAAACCAAGATTCCTAGTCAGGCCTCAAACATTTGAGACTGTACTTTACGCTTACGTGAACCCTGTAGATGCACAGCCTATATTTTCCAGGTTGCTTTTCCCAAAACGGGCAACAATGCTGGACTCGTGTTCTCGTATTGCCATCTATGAAAGGACGCATGTTATCATGCATGCAAATACCTACATGATCCCTTTCAGTCCCTACTGTACATTGAGGTACTTCTACACGACTCCACTCCCCTGCAGAAACCTACCCTGTATAAACAGCACAAACGGGCCACTACAGGGTTCCATCCGTTTTTCCTTGGAACCTGGACTCTCTGATGTGCCTGGTGCAACCCCCTCAACCCTAAACCACGCGCAACAGGGAATATGCGACCACCATTCCTCAAACATGTGTGATCTCTGAATCCCATGCCATGTCAGCTGCAAACCAGCAAGCCCCAACAATGAAGAATCAAATGGAACAGAAACTGGGAGATGAAATGGAAACTCGTGTCACACGGCTGTGAACCGAAAACCCGTCTTATCGCGCGCCCCCTCGCCTCCACCCCCTGTTACATACCCCTTTGTCGCGGCCTGTTGTTACATACCTTTGTCGCGAATGCTTGGCGCAGGTATACCCTACAAAAGAACCTTGTCGCAAAGGAGCTTGTCGCAAGCAGGAGAGTCTGTTACAGACCTATGTTGCGGAATGGCCGCCCCAACCTGGGGGGGGTTTAAACAGGGACCATCTAAACTTGTGAACAGTAAGATGATGGCGCCTCCAGCTGAGCTCGCTCTTCTTGCTGCAGCTCCAGTCTGGGTACACGTGAAGAAGGGTTTTTCTGCGTCACGCTCGGGCCCAGCTAAAGGGTTAGTTATTAAGGCTGAGATTGGGATTATGTAGGGCTTATGTTTTTTTTGAGTGCTTAAACTGCGTCAGACTATATCCTGCTTGCCAGAAACTACACCCGAAAGGAAGACATAATCTCACTCTCTATCAGGGATTAGAATATTCCCAAATGGACTGCTACTCAGCTGTCAGTAGCAGCCTGCCCAAAACTAACATGGAACCCAATTCAGGGTTTGCAAAAATCAGAGGCCCATTTGTGCAGGTCCTCACAAACGTGGTTATGGTTATATAGGGTTTGGGGTGTATAACAGGGGAGCCCTTTTGCGGATTCTGCAGGCCCTTTCAAAAAAGTACGATCATCTTGGTAGAACCTCTTCTTGGGCTTCCAGGGCAGTTGTGGCGGGAGGGGAGAACAGTAGTTTCCCCGTATTTGCCAAGGTTAAGTAACCCGTTGAGAAAAACTAATATGATATGTGGCAATTTGCATATCCTCGTCTTGTGCATTACTCTTGGGCATGAAAACTACTATGGTATATGGCTACGTAATGGAAACGAAAACACACAACTCCAATTTGTTGTGCCAATTTGTGCAAATTCCAAGTTGTTGCCCATGTCATTATATGAAGCTACAGGATGTCAACGGCAACTAACGCACTCTTCTCCCATGTTGACGTTGGGCTCAGAATATGGGCGTAGCTTCCATCTGCTGGTGGGCTACGAGCTTGCAAGAAGCAAAACCATTATTAAGTCTATGCGTGTAAGTGTTTGCGGTATGGTCCTGTTTGGGACGCATCTCTGTAAAAAGCTCAACACTCATATCTGTAAACCCCAAACCCTAAATTAGTAGCTTCCACTCACTTTTCCATTATAACCCCTAAACAACCCCAAAATGGTAGTTTCCCAAGATGAGGGGACCCCAATATAGACCCAAAAATACTATAGTCCTTATTACAGGGACCCCAAAAAAGGTACCCCGGTACCCCTATTTTTGGGAAACCCCTATATAACAAGCCCCACACTTATGACTAAAATTGTTTGCCACTGGCGGCCGCTGCTGCGGTCAGACTCCTGAGCTCTGGGCTTGCGCTGAAGGGCCGCTTGATCTGCCTGCAGGTAGTAGCAACATGTAACAATCAAAGTAGCAATGATAACAATGGTAATGATAATAAGTATCAGCAGTATTACTACTACTGTTACTATTATTACTACTAGTATTGCTGGTACTATTATTACTATTTTTCCTGCTGGTACTATTAGTACTTTTTTTATACTGTTAGCACCGAAACCAGGGATTGAAGTCTGCAACCTTTGGAACAACATGGCAAAATGCGATGTTTTTTTTGTTTTTTCGCGTGCAGCCCCCGCACTTCAGAATCCTGCGAGCAGCTGTAGCAGACTGAGCTCATGACGAGAATCTTGCCAACAGACTGGCGGAGCTCCAATGCCTCGAGCTAGAAGCTGAAGTAGATTGGGACGAGTTTCACAGAAAGACCCATAGACTCAGACATTGTGCTGCTTGCTTTCTGCTTGGATCACCCCCTACCACCCTGAAATACCTTCCTGCTTTGATTCAATCCGGTCCTGCCTCTTGCTGTGTGCCAGGCAGGCATCCGGCACAATAGCGACTGCCCTCTGGCACAAGAATGCCGCAGCGTACACACACCTCAACTACAGGTGCTCGCCCTTCTGTTGATGGGATGTGACAGGACAGGCTACTGTCAGTGTCAACTGCCCTCTGGCTGGGAGATTCCAATCCTCTCGCCAGTGTGCTTTCACAACTTTTGGTTGCATTGAAGAGACAAAGCCCGCTTCACATCAGGAAAGGCAATGGAATCAAAAATCTCTGGAACAGCGAAGCCAAAGTGGCAATACAGCGGCACATCACTGTGAGCTGCCATCTTGGCTGCTCAAGCAAGCCCTGAGAGTTCCCATGATCGAAACCTAAACCCTGAGGTGAGTCCTAGTCTCAACTCCTAGTATCCCCCCTCATAACACCGAAAATACTCCCCTGTATAATCCCCTTTGTTACTCTTCAAGATGTTTTGACCACAGCTCAAGTGGAAGCACCGCATGCTCTTTGCATGTTCTCTTCTCGAGAGAACTGATGTGATGATGACCCGGGCGAAAAGCTCGCGAACATCATGAGTATCAGTAGCCTTCTGCGTATCTTAGCTGGGTAGTGTCACCTGTCGTACCCAGTCTGGAATGACATCAATCACTTCAATCAGGTGTCCCCGTTCCAGTTTCCACGTGCTTTTCTCTTTTCCATCTGATGTTCCATCACTACATGCATTTAAGCCCCTATACTATATATCCCCACATAACTCCATATAGCACTTCTTATGCAACTCCGAGAAACTGAGGCCCACACCTGCTCCACAAGACCTCTTCCAGGGCCTCAGCCGTGGTTCGCAGGAAGGGTTTAGAGCTTAGGGTTCCCAAGTGGGAATGAAGGAATGGAAAAGATGGGATCTAGGGCTGCGTCACCTGCATGGCCATGCTGCAAATAACCAGGCAGCAGAGTTTAGGCTTGCTAGGGGGTGTATACTCTTGGGGTAGTATAAGGATTACACAGGGATGAAGAGACTGTTAGCCCATTCATGGAAAATCATATGGAAAGGTGATTCTTTTGGATCTTTTTCCTTGTATTTTGTGTTGTCTACCAGGAAATGTTTGCGCTTCGCCCTTGCGCGGATCTTGCGCCAGCTTATCAGCTGACTTAAGCCCAACCTATGTAATCCTTTTTTGGTGGTTGATCACCATGGCTTGGGCAGGGTGAGCTTGCGCTTTTGCTTGCGCCAGCTTGCTCTCAACTTGCGCAACGTGTCGCTTCCAAATTGAGTTTTCGCCGTCTGCAATTCCCTGCTTTTCTTGGCCCTGCTGTGCTCCCATTCCCACCTGGCGAAAACCTCGCCTCTCCTTCTTTGCTTGCTTCCTTCCCCATGTGGCCCTCCTCTCCTTCCTGGCGTTTTGCCCCAGTGCACATGTGCTTGCTTGCATGCTCTTCGTTTACTCAAAGATCCTAGTATGTTCAAGCTACATTACAAGCCCTTGCGCTGGACCTTTCGTCACAGTTGCACGAGCTTGCGCGGACCCCCTTTTTGGCGTGCGGTATACACCCTTCGAGTTCCTAATCGCGCCCCAAAGTATCGAATGAAGGATGCGCCATTTGTCCCATTTGAGGTGGGGCGAACCTCAAGGAGGACGGACTTAGAACTATGACAGGTGCTAACAGAGCGGCAGATACTGTTCATGAGCAGGCAGATGAGCAAAATGACTGTTGCAGCCGTACTTGATGAAAGCAGGAGGTAGGAATAGCCAGCAGAAGGGCTACAGCAACAGCTCTGAACAGTCATGTAGCAGAAGGATGGGGCACAAGATGGCTAGACAGACAAAAAGCAACTGATCTCGCTGAGAAGTGCTACCCAGCATAGTGACCTCTCCTTCACTTCGGCGCTATTGAAAATTGTGTTTTCCCGCTATATCCGTACAACCCCCACAGATTACCTGTCTCTAATGGGCTTTCCGACCACAGCTGGCCATTGCTGTTTTGTCACACCACCAGGGTTCCCTGTCCGAAGGTTGCTTTGACCAGCCTCTCGGCAAACCACTGCAGATTTGCAGTATGCGCCCACTGCCTGTACAAAATAATGCCCCTAGCTGCGCGACCCATGCATTGCCAAAAAAACGATGGCCAGCATCATCGCAAATATACTGTGATGTCTTCTTCCTTTCTAGCCTGAGTTTTGCCAATGGTGTTCATTTAGCACCAAACTTTGTTTGTGGTGAACAAGATACAAGGTGGGTCTAGGCAGGGCTTTTGAGAGTGATGGACGCACACAAACTGCAAAGTAACACGTGCACGAGACAAAGCTCTCAGAATTTCGCTCCATATACATACAATCACCAAAGGATAGTTAAGCTTGGGATTACTAGTGCCTATGGTACCCTCATGATTGGTAAATGCCTGCTATGTGCCTAGGCTGCATGTGGGACCCTATGATGTGGGTAGCTGTCCTGCGGACGCGTACCCACTTAGAAGCGTATGCAATCCAAGCCCTCCATCAGATCAAATCACTGGTTGTCCAGTTCTTGTTGGCGGCGGTTGCCGATGGTACCAGACCAGCCCAGAGATTGTGATGACAAAGGCCACGATGTAAGTCCAGCTGATGGTCTTGTGCTGCACCTGTCTGGCTGCATGATGCTGGCTAGTTAGATTGAATGTGAAGCCCATCTCACCTGCATCTCCATACACCTTCGAGCGCCCCCTTTACCCCGAAATCCTCGAGTCAGGCGAGTACGGCAGCAAGCCTTTAGATTTTGAACATCCGGCCTGCCAAGAGAAAAGGATGCTGTACAGATCGCAGGTCAGCAGAGACATATTGAACACGGCGGCGTCAGCCATCTTAAGGAAGATGCTGACCAGCATGTACACCCCAAACAAGCAGAGCTGGAAGCCCAGCAAGCAAGCAATGTCCTGCCAGGACCATTTGGTCTCGATGAGCGTATGGCCCTCAAGCACAAAGGCTTGAATACAGGAGATCACGCTGCCACACACACCCAGCATACCAAGCGCTTCATAACGGCTGCACTGACGCTTCAGTAAAACCTCCTCTTGAACATTGGAGGTGGCATAGCCGACAGTGCCGAGAAGGACCAAGAGGTCTCCCAGCCAAGCATGAGGAACCGCTGCTGCCTTGGAGCTGTCTGCAAAAACCGTCAGGCTGAGCCCGAACAGGCACGCCACGCAGGCGGCGATGTGATACTTTGTGTACCTGGTTCCCAGCAAGAGGCATGAAAGGAGCATTACTACAGGGCTGGTAAAGCCATCCAGGAGCATCACCGAGGCCACAGAGGTGTAGCGATAGGCCAGCACCACCAAACAGTTCCCCTCCACATCCGCAAGGGCCCAGAGCATGTAGCGCCACCATGGCAGCTTAAGGCCCTCTTCTCGTATTTCTGGGTAGGCAAAGAGGAGGAGAGGCGCAAGCAACAGGTAGTTCAGGCTGGACTGGATCGTGGGTATATTTATCCCATCCGCTGCGAGCGTGGAAGAAAAGATTCCAGTGAGCGTGTTGAGTACCGCAATCACCTGCCCAAGCGCGATGGACGTCAGCGCCACCGAAGCGCAACGCCGGGGGCCTGCCTCTTCGGCAGTTGACTCGATGGACTCCCCGTTCTCGCGCCGAGCCAGTGGTTCTTGGTCATGGCCCATCGCTTTGAAGCCAAAATCCTTCAAGAGCTGCAGGCTGGAGGGAGATGTATCAGAGATCTGTGCCCAGACAGCCGCCTGGCCAGCCCACTCCATATACGGTCCTAGGCCCTAGGCGTTGGACTACTGTACTTGTAAAATTTATCTGGATGTTGGTGAGCTTCTGGATGCGATGAGGCATGTAAGTCTTTCTTACAGCTTGGGCAGTTCTCAGAAACCGCATTGTTACATCAATGTCTTCACTTGAGCCCTGCATTCGGACATCTCCAAAAAATGTCATCCAATACAAGGTTGCAGGTGGGTCCCACAACTGCTGGTTGCTAGTAGTTTCCACTTCATTTTCCATTATCCCAATACAACCCCAATATACTATAGTATCCATGCTCTTTTAATTACTTCCTATATAACCCGTAAACCTGAGATTCGGTCCGAGTAGGCTGGCGCCAGTCTCGCCCTTGAGCCTGCCAGTATCTGGAGGTTGCTCAGACGAGGAGTCGCCCTGGTCCCATGAATTAAAATCCCCCTTAAGTAGATAGAATGTGGCTTTGGGTACATTATAATAAGATCCCCATATACCCCATATCCTATCTACCCCAAGAGAAGAGTCCTTGTTTAGTAATTGCCCACTCCAAACAGGAGCCTAGAGTGTGGGGAGAGACCATTGTCTTCAGATCATGGTTTCCCGCTGTGCTGGAGGCCGGGCAAGGGACAAAACGCAACTATAGCTACTGCAGCGCAAGTCATGGGCCATTCGCAAAAACCATCGGCCTTTGGGCACCTCCCTCATACTATACCCTACATATAATCCCTATAACAGCCCTATATAATCCCTATATACCCTATATAGACCCCTACTGTGTAATGCTACGTAGTACGGCACCTGGCACTTTGGGACACGGAAACAAGACCCCCAACCTCACACTGAAAGTCATTACTCTTATTACTACTGTTTACTATTATAACTACTATCACTATTACTACTCTTATTGCAATTTTTACTATTACTATTATTACTATTGTCATTGCTATTGTTACTAAGAAAGACCTTCAGCTGTGAGGAACCATGGTGCAGAGCCTCAGATCTTTGCTTCGGCTGCCCCGGCCTCCTGGGAAGTTGGCTGGCTAACTTACAGGTGGTCAGTAGGGAATACATAGACTTTATAGGGAATATGGGAACACAGGGGTAAAATATAGGGGTATAATTGCTGGATCTTAATAGAGAATAGGGGTATGTTTAGGGTTTAGAGTTTACGGTCAGGGGAATATAGGGGTGTAATGTAGGGATATATTATAGGGATAACGGAAAAGAAAATGGAAACTACTATTTAGGCTTAGGGCCTAGGGTTAGTAGGGAATAAGGGAATACATTATTTAGGGATCATGCAAAGCTTACTTTCCCTTGATCCCTACTACCCACCACTTAGTTAATGCATTACCCATGCTTCATACAGACGCCCGCTTCAGTGTCTTGATGGCCGTTGGGTTCTTCCTTGTTCATCGCTTCAGACACCCCGCTGTTTTGCTGTCTGGCTAAGACCACAAGGTCTCACTGTAGGTGTATAGAGAATGCGCTGCCTAGCTGTCTTAAGTCCTAACTGGACTAATAGAATGTGAAATGGTTAGCAAACCTTTGACAACTGGTACGGATATTATGGCTGCTCCTACGCCTATGCCTCCTGAGACCCGGAGGCGACATCAAAATTCCATGCATTCATACATGCATACATGCCTAGATCACGAAAACTCAACCCCGCCTTCAAAGCCCGAGGCCCTCTTTCAAACTCCCAAATCGAATCTATAGCTTGCGTGAACTTCTCTGGGGCAAAATTCCTTCATCACTGTTGGACCCCTTCAAAAAAGAAGCTTCGGCCGCCTGGCTTGCGGTCGCGCTGGTTCTTGGCATTTAACTCCTGGAGTGAAGGTCGGTCACATTTGTACCTCCTCAGCCCCCTTGAGGGATACAAATGTCTCTTGAGGCATTCATTCTTGAAACCCGAAATTCTGAAGCTGGCCAGAGGTTTTGCTCTCAGCCACTAGACATTGTCTTTTCATTCGCTACTCCCACATCTACATGAGCCCTGAAGGGTCAGGGAGTTCCTTTTGACAGCCTTGACTGACATCATCAAACATGCTCAAAGTAGGCAAGCTGTATTCAGAAAGTCACATCAAGAGCAATGCTGAGTCAAGCCTCTCTCGAGGTGAGTAGTCCACGCAGGAGCACCAACAACCATGAAAGTGCCAAGTGAAAAGGCCGGAGGACGACTGCAAACTCTGAGAAAGCATGAACATCACGCAGCTGTGGATCCCCGTAAGCGAATGTCATAGCGTGATTGGGGCAGCTTTTTGGTCATCTGCGACGTCAAACGCAACAAGCTGGAACATGTGAGCCTAGTCCTTACCATATGCTGCAAGCGAAGAGCGCATGAGACAGACATGGAGAGAAGAGTCATGATTTTGCTTATTGCCATGTAGGAGCTGCAAGCAGTCAGAAGGATCCAACCCTTTCAACAAACAGCGCACTCGCGTGAACATGAAAGCCGGGGTCCTTTCCCTCACTGACACCTCTTAACCAACGTGCTCAGATGCACCGATCCCAAGACCCAACCCAAGGAAGGAGAATCATCCCCTCCCCCTAAGCCCTAAACGCCCCCCCAACCCCTTGAGACATAAATATTTCCCCGTGTGTATATGTACAAGGAAGGCTTCGGCTCCTGCTGCGCTGCTGTCAGGGCTTTGCGAACATGACCAAGCCGCTGATCCTGGCGCTCCTTCTCCACCTGACCTGGGGATTTTCCTAGAGTTAGGGGTACGTACTTTTAAGGGGGATATATAGGGGTTCTATAGAAATATATAGGGGTTACCGGTTTAGGATTTAGGGTTTCCCCAAAATTGGGTGTACCTTTTTGGGGGTCCCTACAATAGCGGCTGTAGTATTTTGGAGCCTATACTGAGGTCTCCCTATTTGAGGTAACAACCACCTGGGCTGGTGCATACCAGGGAGTTCTGGGGGTTCTGCGAGCACTCCAGGGTGCAGGGCCGGGGTAAAACAAGAAGAAACGCAGCTACACAGCAATCAGTACTAGGTATGACTGACCATCTGAAATCTCAGTCGTGATTTGCAAGCATCGCCCAACAATCGCCCAACAATCACGCAACAGCAAAATCAGCCATCCGGACTTGGAGGCTCGAAGGACTCATGTTCGGGATGCAGAATTCTCTAGTCACGCTTTACGATCACGTAAGTCATAGTTTCACACAACTTGGCCATGCATTCCAGGAAGCACCCCAACCAGCTACAAGTAAATCCCGAGACCGCCGCCAAATGAGCTTAGGCCCAGGCAAAGGCTCAGTTGCTCACGCAGCTGCCAGACTTTTTCCCGCTGCCTGGGAAGAAAATAGGAGAACATGGGGGCAGCAGATGTTGCACACCTAATCAACTCTTTGATGTCACACTGTGCACGTGTGTGACATGTGCTTCGGTATCCAAATCCATCTACACGTGGTATAGCGCTCAACCTAGGCATTTTGCCACCGCAGTAAATAATAAGCGATGCAGGTTCTTTACGGATATCATAATGCAAATTCCCTAGATTGGGTACCTCTGAATATTAGGTGCCGTCATAAAATTCATAACCAAAAGGGGTCCATAATTTTGAGAATAACCCATATTAGCTAAAGCCAATATTCCCCGGATCAATTAATAAACCTGGGTTCCTTCTTAGGGACTATATTAGGGACTATACTTCAGACTACAAGAGGGAGCTCAATTTCCTATGTGCACTGTTAAGGGTTCCTGAATAAGGCCAATACTGACAATACCTCGTAGGTATCTACATTGAACCCTAAAAAGCCTACTATGACTCTTTCGAAATTCAGCTATCCTAGGTATCTATTCTTGTCTTTCAAAATCCAACCCTCAAACCCTAACACTCCAAAACCCTCACTCCAAAACCCTCAAACCCTAAACCAAACCTCGAACCCCTAAGCCCTGCCTGGCCAAGAAGTCTCTCCGATACTTGGGGCCGTCGGCGGCCTCCAAGGCATCGTCCCAACCTGGCGGCTTGCGGGCCTGCGCGGAGCAAAGGGCTTGGCCCTGGCATGCATGTGTTGTATGCATGTTGTTCATGTACGCACCGATACCTATATAAACATATGAAAGATATATGTAAATAAATATATATATATATATACATACTATTATGTATATATACATATACACAGGTACTTCTTAGATGTATGTACACACCCGTTGCATATGATCAGAACCTTACAACAAACAAGCCTGCTTATCATCAGCAATCCATATGCACAGTGCTATTGCTACTGGCAACAGCAATGACATGGCTTGGCTTTGACATTCCTTGAGCTATAGCCTAAACTCCTACTATGCCCCGTAACAATCCCAATAGTATAGAACTCCCATATAGAATCCCCTATATAACCCCCCTTTAAGGAGTTTAGACTACAGCTCACTTGTGGTGAGTAGGTGTGGCTATCATGGAAAGGAGTCACAGATTTTCGGAGTGGAGTTGTCCACACAGCATCCTCCAGAATAGTACCTTTATTCCCTTACTAAACTTTCTTTGCTTGGTTATGAATCCCTTCCTTCCTTGCTAGCCTCTATGGGCCCCGTAAGTGAAGCTGATTTCCGAAAATTCTGAGCAGTTGGCCAGGCTTGCAGCTTCTGGAGTTCGTCCTGGCAAGTCATCTCTTTAGGACAACAATTATCCAAGAACATGCACGTCTGCATGTATATGTGCATATGCGGAGACACATATACAGGTTTATGTATGTAGATATATATCTTTGTGGAACGGGTGGAGGTTACAGGAGGATAGGCAGAAGTGAAAAGGGCACATCATGGGGGCTATGCCCTGCAAGCCCGACGGCCTTTGGCTGTGGCGGATGCCTGAAATTCCCAAAACACTTCAGGCAGCTGAAGCTGTGACTGTGCCTGCTGTGTACGTTGCGAAATCTATGGCAGCCACGAGGAAGAGAGTGGT